TTTTTAAATTTAAATGATTCTCATTTAAGATTTAGGGTATCTTCTATTCGACCATATTCTATTTGTTTTCTCACTGAATTCTCGCCAAAGTTAAAAAGTAGTAGTAGAAGACTATCAATTGACGCGAGTCTAATATGATTGTAAGTATTATTATTATCATTTGCCGCTGTTGGCGCCTCTTAGCTGAATGAAAAGTTAATTGAAATCAAAGTAATGGCAGCGGGAATTGCCAAGTGCTGCCACTGCCCCTCCTGTCCCGTCTATCCTGTCAAGTCCTAGCCTAGAGGACAGCCGAGAACAGGAGATGAACAAAGAGCGAGCCTTATCGGTTTGCTCAATGAATGTAAAATAAATTAAAAATTGTTAAAGGCTGCGCGTTCAATTGCAGAAGTGCTAATGGCCACGTTAATGAAATGGACTCTTGATTTTTACATTAGGGCCCCTGCCCAGGATAGCAGGATCCAGCTCCTCCGTCCTTTGCCTTTAGGGACATTTGTTGGCCTTTGCACTTGCCTTTTGTGGCAATATTCTTGTTGCACTTTAGTTCGTATCAAAGTAATGAAATCTTCAAAGCATAGCAAATGGAAAGGTAACTGAAAAACTTATCAGCAGGATGGCTGTCTCCGTGTTTGTGTGTGTATGTATGGAAGTGGGTGTATGTGAGTGTAAAGGAGGAACAGAACTCATGTGTCTTCCATAGAACCTGAGTCTGAATTGCAATTCAGCAGCTGTTGGCAACGGTTAAAATGGGAAACCCGAGCAGAGCTCCATGCTCTTTGCTCTGCTAATGCTATCTTGCTCTGACTTAACCATCTCTCTCTTTCTTTTGCCTTTTGCAGATGCATCATCCCATTCAAATGAAGCCGGCAGACAGTGAGAACAGAAATGGTAAGTTTTTCCAACAGAGAAATAAAAAGAAAAACCCCATTTTATTTTTTTAAAGTCCTTTGTCTGGCTGATTGCTGAGAATGTTGGCCAGTTTTTATGGCTCTGCCTTGTGGTCTTAATCGCAGCTTGTATCGGAGACATGCGCCTACCATATGCATGAGTAATGGCCCGGGTGGCATATGCTAGCTATGGGCAGGCCTTGCGGCGGCCCACTAAATCGATTAGATTCGATGTCTTTGTCTCTGTTTTTCTGTTTCTATTGCTGTCTCTGTCTCTGTCTTTGGCTCTGGCATTGAAAACTTAAGCTCTTTGAATAAAATTTCAACAAGCTCGCAACTGTTAGCCACACACGCACACTAACAGCCGTCAGTGTGCGCCCCTTTCTGTTGCGTATCAAGGCCTGCCACTATTTGTTGACTTGGTGGCAACCCTGTTCATCATTGCCAAGCAATCAAAAGTAAAAATGAAATCCTCATTGAACCTTTCCATAACACTACGCCATTTTCCGTTTCCGTTTTCGTGGCTGTGGCTTGTTAGGTTATGATATATATTTTCTAGTAATACAAAAATTCTCTTATATGAAGCATGTTTTTTATGAATTTGATCTTTTATGATCTTCACAGTTTTCGAATTGATTATTTCAATTTTTTTTTTTTTTTTTTTTTTTTTAATGTTATCAGAATATAAAAGTACACCTTTAATTTGGCATACATCGCAAAATGTGCTTGGTTTTCAAATACATCCTTTGACATTAATTGAATATTAGTTATAGTTATAGTTATATAGATTTTTAACTATATTTATTTCTATATATCTTCCAATTATATTTTATTTTATTCCCTTTTTTTATTCTAATTCTCTTCTTATATATTTCTCTCATTACTTAACAAGTGTGATTTCTTACATTTTATCTCTATTACATTTATTCACATATGAAGGTATATCTTCCATTACTTCTATTCCCAATTTTCTTTATTCCCTATCAAGTGTAGCCCTCTTTCTACTTCTTCTCTATAACATCTACCTTCGCATTTACCTAATTTACAAATAATTATCTGCTGCTCTTGTTTTTCATTAAATGTAAATTTGTATTAAGATTTTTAAACATATTCATATTTAATGTATTTTCTCATTCACTCACAAATCTGCACAATTTTCGGCTCTTCTCAACGTCCATTAAGGTGTTCAACGAGCACATAATATAGATAATTCTATTGGTTGTTTTTGTTGTCGTGTGCGTCATGCTGTACGCGTGACAAAAATAAATCACAAACTTAAAAATACGTAACGCACAAATTTTATAGTAAATTAAGAACATAAAACCAGAGGAAAAGTTTTCTAGTTGGAAGTGCATGGCTAAACATTATCTAAGACGATTTATAATTTTATTTGGGTGCCAAGAAAATTAATGATAACAAGGCGTGGCCATAAAAGAGCTATTAAAAATTGCACACAAAAATTGTTAAATATAAAATGACAGAATTCGCTATGCTCTTACATATTCTAGTGCAAAAATGTATTTTTTGTAGCAAAATATATAAATAAAAATAAAAAATAAATATTATTTGAATAATCTCTTGCAAGCTTCAACTCCACATTAACCTAATTATATATTTAGCATTTTCGCATCCCACTCAAGTAGCGGACTACCCCTAATGTAGTAGGGCATATTGGCAACAAGACGAGGCAAGATGCATAAATGCCTCACAATTTCAAATGCCACACAAAGTACGCAAATGCAACAAGTGCAAACTTTGCCTTACACTCTCTTACCCTTCAACTGCCGCCCGCTCCCTTCTGCATCCGATCATGCCCCTTGGATGCTTTGCCAAATGTTTTTGCGACACTTGACAAGATGCCAGAAATTCTAAACACTTTTAGCCGTTTCGTCGGTGCCCTTTTGCTGTTAGCTGCTTTGAATACTTGCTCATTGCTCGAGCATTCTTTTGTCTCGCTCTCGCTTGTCTATCTCTGTCGCTCAGGCCGGGGCTGCCTGAGCAATCATGGCAAATTAATTATGTATGCTGTGCAGCGTCTGCACTTTTACGCACACTTTTATTTACGCCGCCGTGGCTTTCTAATTAATGAGCATATTAATTTGTGAAGTTGTCAGGCGCTGACAACTTGTAGGGTGGACACCCTACAATGCGCTACTCCGGCAGTTCCATGGCGATGTGGCAACTCATGCAGCGGTATCTTCAGATCTGCGATTGAGTCAAATGCATGCTTTCATGCTCGTGCAATTTGTTGCATCTGTGGCTGTGTCTGTCTCTGTATCTGTGTCTGCATCTGTGCATCTATTAGATACTTTTGCTGCTGGTCACATTAGCACAGTTTTCAATTCAATTACGGCATTCTACGGGCTATACAAAGCGCTTTCCTATGCTGCCGAGACATGGCCTCATCAATTGATTTTCGCACATTTGTTGCTCGTTTAGCAACTGACGTGATCGCCTCTTTAGATACATGCGCTTGTAGATACTTGTGTATCCAACAGATACATTTACAAACCTAAATAGCCGCAGTTCGTTAGGGCTATGCCCGAGTTGCTAATTGTGAGCAGCGTTTCGTTTAACTCGCCGTTAAATGTGTTAAATATTGTGAAATTCGGTGAATAACAGAAAAACAGGCTGAGCTAACATAAAGTATTGTTTGAAATGCTTGAGCTGCAAACACAGTGAAGCCTCTGCTCGACAACAACTTCTTATACAGGGCTTGGCACTCGAAGTGTTGCCTACTTCCAATGCCATAAATTCGTTTTGGCAAATGATTTTCATTTATTTAAAAGCATATCACAAGTTACCTGAAGGTGGCAAGGCCTTCTGATGGCTTTCTTTAGGATCTTCAATGCCTGCATAACTTTTTTTTTTATATTCCACATTCCTCGTTTAGCTACATCTCTATGCACTTAAAATTTCCAGCACTGTCAACTGAGGTTAGATTGGGCGCCAAAGTCGTTTTACTGGCGCTGCAAGCTTTGAATTGAATTACAAGCCGTTACTTTACAAGACGTCGCCATTAGCAGTACTAAAACAAGACAAGACTGTGCAGCGCTTGTGCTAGAGCGAGACAGATGTCCGTCAATCATCTTCTTTGAACTCTAAAACAAACCAAGCAACAACAACATAAAAGCGCTTAGTCAGCCGGCAGCGAGAAATGCGCGAAACAAACATAAACAAACAAGACAAAACGCAAGCAAAGAGCGTAACTAATTGACTTTGACTAAGCCACAAGTGGCGAAGAGAGCGCGCTCGCCAGCAACAGCTGTGCGCGAAGAGAGAGCGCACGAGCGAAATAGAGATAGCGTGCGAGAGAGCGGGTGGGCTAGCCGTCAGAGAGCGCAAGCCGGCATAAGCATTGCCAGGCGCCAGGCAGCAAATGAAATTCAAAGTGCAGCGCAATTGACGATCGGCCCAAAGCCAAAAGCCCCCAGCCGATGCCGCTGCCGCTGCTTTTGCTGTTGCTTTTGCTGTTGCTGTTGCTGTTACACACAGTTGGTTGTTCAGTGTAGACGGATGGTCGGACGGGTCGGTTGGTCGCATCGATAGCTCCTCACGCGCGCAATTTGTCAAACGTGAGCGTGTATTCCAATAGAATATTTTGTCGCCGCAGTTTGCCGCAGTTCGCCGCAGCCGTCAGTCGATCGATCGCGCACGTTTTTCAATTTGCTGCCCGCAAAGTAAACAATAAAGGAAATTCTTTAAATTAAATAACTGTGCACGCTCAATTGAAGTGAATTGAAACTAAATTTGAAAAGTAATCAAAATCAATTTTATTGAAAATGTCGCGCACTTAACTTTAATTAATCAACAATTATTTTGAAATTGCTCGAAAGTTCAAAAGAAATATATTTACAAATATCAAGTGTTTACAGCAACAGCACATAAAGTAATATATACATACATACATACATACATACATACATACATATAGTTAGTTTTATGCTCACTTAAAATCTGTGCACATCTTTTTTGGCTTTTGCCAATTGCCAAAATGTAAACAACGCTCATAAATGCCAACAACAATATGCAAATTGCCAATATGTATTGACCGAATGCTTTTGAGACAAAGCAAAACAAATAACAAAAAAAAAAAAAAAAAAAAAAAAAAAAAAAAAAACACTTTAAAATTAAATAAAAAATTTAATAAATCTGAGCAAATGCAGCAGCAGCGCAGCATCCGCCGCTGCTTGACTCACTCGTTCGAGCCGGCTTCCCAATATATCGGCTCCTACAGCTGGTTAATTATTATTGTGCACCCGCGCACCCGCTCGCTGACTTTGTGGATCGCAACGACCGCAACCAGTTTTTCATTTCAATTTCAATTTCCATTCAATTTCGCTTTTGCTTATATACTTCATATATATATTTATATGTATATAGATTGATATACATGTTATTAGCCAGCAATTGAGCCGTTATTAACTCAGCTGTTTTCTGTTTTTGTCTTTTTGTTTTGATTCAAGTGAACTGCGCACATTCACAGTTATTTTATCTCAAGCTGTTGCTCGATATGTATCTCAATCAATATGTGTTTTATCTTAAGCAATGCAACAAAGTAATATTACAATATTACAATATTGTTTGTACAAGAAGTATTATAGATGAGGGAAATTATTGAATAATATATATGTAGATACATCTATATATGTAGTTACATATTAAATCTGTATCTTTATATATTACCTAATAATCTTTTTCTTTTATAGATACTTTTTATTAAACTCTGTACTTATGTATATCTATAGTCTGCATGGGCATACATTATCTGTATCTTTTGCAGTTGCTTGAAATGTATCTGTATATCTTTGGTTACATATTTCATAGGAAATTTCTAATTCTGCATTATTTAATGCCTATAATTATTATAATATCTTGTATCTGACACGCTTTTCTTCAGATACTTTTGCATGCTCAAGTTGCTCAAGAACCAATATGTATCTTTTATGTATATGTCTATCAATATTACCAATACATTATCTATAATTCCGTCTTCATCGC